GGGGGGTGAGGAACCTGCTTTCAATTTGCTGCAGAAGTACAACAGACGAGTCAGGCCGCCAAGTCTCCCTCTACGGGTCAAGCACTCAAAAGTGCACACCAAGGATGAAGGATTCATGCAGTGTCGCGAAAAGCTTGTTACCGTCCAACCGCTGCTCTTTCTTTAGGCTTTGATGCGGCGGGTATCAATCTTGAAGTTACACATCGTGCAGAGCCCTTGGCGACAGTCGCGGCGGGGATAGAAGCCACGTGTCGACATTCAGGTCCGGCATCCACCACTTGGTGGCCGGAAGGTGTCGACTGGGCCGACCGGGTTTCCGAGAAACCGTCTTCCTCTTAGGAAGTGCCTCTGTTCACGGCCTGGTTCTTGTTTTCGTCGGTCGCTTGAGGCCGACCAGCCTCCGCCGGTGCAAGGCTGAATCACTCGAAGGAGACCCTGCAGGCCATGGCCACGGCCCCGCACGGCTCCGCAGACGGCTCCGTTTCAGAGCTTAGACCTGTTGCAAAGGCTGGCGACAGCTCGATGCCTAAGCGTGGACAAGAACTTGCCACGTTGTTGCTTCCTTGCCTTGATCCCCCCAAGGCACTCCCTGCTTTGCGCGAGTGTGGCATCGGCGTCCTCTAATTGCCACTTGAGCAGGATGTCCGTGGTTCCTTTCGTTGGGGTTCGTTGGGGTTGCTCTGCAATTGCAGATGCGTGCTTGGCACGCAGATATGATTCCGAGAAGCAGCGCGACTGTCGTAAGTGCCAGCGAAATTGCAGACACTCCTCTGTGATGCTGGGCTGCTGCCTGTTGCATCCGTAACCATCCGTCAAGCTTCCGTCGTCATCGCTGTGACTTCGTGATCACCTTCTCAAAGTTTCCCTATCCTTGGATAGGGGATGGGGGTGTTTAACCACCTTCGGAGCTACTATAGCTCTATGCCTATGCATCGGCTTGAGTTTGGTTTTCTGCATGTCGCATGTGTGGTGCTTCTGTAGTCCGTCTAAACTCAAAACGTGATGTCTGCAGCATGTTGAAGTTCGCACGCACAGAGCAGACTGCAGCAACAGCACGTCTGCAGGGGCTAGGGCAGCAAGGCCTGGCATGCTTGGTTTAATTATCTAGGTGTTCTGAGAAGGTTTTCAACATCTTGCAGATGTGAAGATTTAGATTTCAACAGTGTGCGATGCAGTTTTTGAGCCGGAGGTTTGGAGGCAAGGTGTCTAGAGGCAGTCAACAAATCCGAAACCCGGAGACCAATCGCTGAGGCCGCCAATCAGCTACAGAAGGATGTTGCAGGACTTGGCCTTTGTCGTGCCGTGGTGACAGTGCCGTTTGCATCACGGCTCGTGCTGCAGGCTTCGGAGACACCGTTCTGGAAGGATACCCTCTCAACCTCTTGGAAGGTGGGTAGTTGAGAGCTGAAGCTACTGGAAGCTCTTGTAACTGGGGGGGGGCACCGACGTTGTTTTTCCCAGTGGTGTGCTGCCACTGCAATGCACTCGTTCCCGACCAAAGTTCCATGCCCGGCCGGCAGTCTAAGATTTGCCTGTCGGATGGCGAATTCAGGAGTTTGGTCAGGCCTGTAGAACTGTAGACCGGTGTGGTTTCAGTGTCGCATACGACTCATGCCGTGTCAATCTGAAGCGTTCAAAATGGTCAGTGGTGATCACAAAGTCGCACTGCGGACCGGTGCCCAGGTGCCGGTGGAGCGTGTTAATTCCACTGTCATGGATGAATTGCTGCATCAAGCGTCTGCTTGTACCATTGGCCATGACACATAACAACACCTGGCCTTTTGGATGTACAGCCGCATGTGCATGCAGTCTCTTCCATCACCATCGTGGGAGGGCATTCTCGCGGTGCAACGCTGCGACTACATAACCCATATAGCCCGTGTGATCGTGGCCTCAGCTGGTGGCATGGATGGCATTGAACTGTTGGCCCGTGCCAATAGCCATGATTCAGAGAGGACAAAACTCCTCAAGCAGGCATCGCGGCAGCTCGTCGTCCGAGCTCGTTGTTTGTAACCCATCGCGCGTCAGGTGCTCCTGTCCTCGTCCAAGCTTCACCGGGAGCTACGCGTGACCTTGGGCACACCTGCCCCAAAAGCCAGCAAGTTTGGCACCTTTGTACCGAGCGCCGCGCTCAAGAGACAAAAGGACTGCACAGCATGCCAACTGGTGCAAAGGCATGCGTTTCAACCAACAGGCACTGCACGCCCCTGGAGGAGTTACAAGCTGCAAGCCCTTTGGCAGCGTCGTTGAAAGAAAAGCTCGAGCTTTGTGCGCAAGGCAGCCATGGGGGCACTCCAACCGGCCTGCCGCTCACGTCAGTCCCAAATATGCATATGTTCTCCTGTCTTTGGCAGGCGATTCCGACATTTGCGAGCTTATGACGCCTGGACGAGAGCTCTCGCCGGTGCTGAAGTCTTGTGGGGCGAGAATCGGTAACCTTTCAGATAGGCTTTCTGCGGTGGAGGCCTGCTTTGACGTCGTTTATGCTAGAAAGCAATTAGTGTGACCAGTTGCTATTGCGAAAAGATGTGTAAGTCACGTATGCAACTCACAGGGGCAGTTGGTTCTGCGCGGCGGTGCTTTACCTGCACGGGAGGAGTCATGTGGTCAGAACATGCTAAGACATTGGCTGTCTGCTCGTAAGTCGTAAGTGCGACACCTCGAGAGGAGGAGGAGACCCATCTCATCGAAATCATCCCAAGGGGCCAGCAGGCACAGAGCGCTTTGAAAGGTTTTGGACGTAACATCAATGCGAAGGACCGAAGCAAACAGGCCTAGTGAATGCCAGGAGTAAGAGCACAGTTTCCCGGAGGCCTCGGCAGCCACTCGGCACAAAGCCGAAGCGGCTGCAGAGCGGGCCCTGCAGCAGCATGCTCGTTTCGCCGCGCTGGAGGCCGACACACTGAGAAGTGAAGAGCAGGATCAGGATTTTGCACTTGCGCATCATGCGAAGGATTTGCAAAATACTCTCCAGACACGGTTTTCATACGATGACCTGCTGCGGCCCTACCCTCCCAAGTTCTGTGACGTCAGACAGTGGGAGTCGGCAGAAACAGGGGTGGCTTGCACCACTGATTCCGTGCAGAGTCCGTGGCGCTCAGGCGGCAGTCATTTCCGCGCAGGTCGAGATGGAATCCGAATCTCTACCTTCTGACAGACGAGACCTTGAAAAATCCGGCTGAGTTCAAGGAGGGAGAACATGTTAGGTCTTCCCTGTGTGTTCCGGGTGCTGGTCGACACTTCGCTGAGCTGTGTAGTGGCGATTGTCTTCGTTGTCCTTGTCTGAGTGGCAGTAGCCGTAGCTGGAGTTAATAGAACAAGCAGTCGTCCCACATTCACTGTGGAAGGTTTATGATTACAGCAGTAACTCAGTAGTAGTACTAGTCGTCATAGTTTTCGTCGTCGTCCTCGCTGTGGTGGTGGTGCTCGTGCGCTAGCAGCACTACTAGTGGTCACACTTAGTAGTAGTAGTAGTAGTAG